AGATGCCCAAGGGTGCACTTTAAACTGGGGCTCACTCCAAGGAGGCATTTTGCAGACCCCCATCACATGCAGTTGTTGAGTTCTGCCACATTTTCTACCCTTTCTACCCCAAAGAAAACCCCTGTTTGGGTTTTGCTTCAGCCACTACTTCCCATTGATCATTTTAGGTGCAAGGTTTTGCTGCCTCGCTTGTACTTCTGTTTAAATCTTCAATGCCACCACTTCAGCCACCACATTGGCATCATACAGGTTTTAACTGGCAGGTACCGCCAGCCCCAATCCAAAGCATTTCCCAAATTCCCAGAGTTTGGGTGGGGCCTTTTGCTTGGTGGTTGTTGGTTTTGAGCTAGAGCCATTTACCCCTTCCCTCCCTTAGCATGGAGAAACATGCTGCCACTGGACTAGAGCTGGAAAAACCCCTCCTGACTCCACAATGTAACATAAAAATTCAAGGCATATTTCCTTTTTTTCCCCCCCCCCCCCCCCCCCCCCATAGACTAGAGTTTGCTACTGCAACCTGTTCAGCTGAACAAATTCAATCCACATTGACAGGGATGCTCTTTGAGCCCAGATTTGCCAGCCCAGTTCTAACCAGCGCATGAGACATTGCTGGAAGCACCATGGTGCAGCATGGGAGCACCTCACTGTCCCCTGGGCAGCCCTGGGCTGGACACGCTAACCATAACCCCTGCTTTTGTACCCACAAAACCAAGAGCTGAAGAGCTCCTTGCCATTTCTGTTGCAAATGCTTTGCTTCCCAAGCCCCCATTTTTACATACCTCATCCTCAGCAGCTCAGTCTTCCTGTGCAGGCAGCACCTGCAGGCAGGACCAGCCCTCCAAACATATCCAAAAAGGCTTTATGCACGTCTTTTAATCTGAGAAAGCAGTAAAACGTCCCCAGCCCTGTGCCCACCCTGGGCTACAAGGGCAGCCAAGATGCTGGCTCGGGCACAGCATCTCCTTGCGCTGTGCAGGGCATGACAGAAGGGTCAAACAATCTTCTCTTGCATTCACAAAAAAAATAGTTTCCTTGCCAGTGTCAGGTCTGTCAGTGAGGCAGCAGGTCCCAAAAAATCCCCCTTGCATCTCAGGAGACAGCTGAAAATGTTCCTGCAAGCCAAAGCCCTGGGCCTCTTCGCAAGCCCAAGCTCGGTCATGAATTACTGCTCAAACAACGTATTGGAAAATACGGGTCTTAATTTGGTGTTACGGTCCTCATTTATTTTCTGGGATGGTTTTGCCATCCATGCCTGAATTTATGTTAATTGCCTCAAGCCTGCTCTTGGCTTTCTCAAAGGAAAACCAAATGTTTCTACCGGGTCATTTCCTCACATGGCCAACACTAAGCACATTTAAATACACCATTTACTGAAACGAGACCATCTAAAATATAGTAAAGCCAATTTTCTTGCCTAATCAATAAAAAGGCTTTTTTATATGCCACTAGATGCTTCTGGTCCCCGTACTGTCTGTTCAGCATGATGAAGACATAAGGCCTGGAGACAACCATTGCTAAAAGATGGTGCAAGAAACTTTTTGCCATTTTGGATGTGACTAGTCACCCATGGAAGTTCCCAGAATGACCAAACTCCCCAGAAACAGGTGCAAAAAAGCCTGGAGAAGGGAGTTACAGGGAAATTTCCACTCTGGGAAAGCTTCTCCCCAGCAAACCTCTGGCTTGGGCTCTGGAAAAATGCAGGTACCATCTCCCACAGAAGAAGAAATTACCTTCTCCAATGTAACCATGGCTGCTCCCACCAGCCACATGGTCATCTAATCTTTCTCACCATCAAAGAGCTTCTGGCCTGACTGATGTATTGCAGCAGCGATTTCAAAACTTAATTAAGCTGTCTAAAATACCTTCAGTACATTGGAGATGCAACAGATGGATTTAAAAAAAAAAAGGAGATAAACTTGTTCTTGTGCACAAGACATGCCCAGTGCATTTCTGAGTACTGGTGAGTTATTTAACGGTCAAAGGGAAGACCCAAAGACCTCTCACACCTACAGCCATGCGTGCAGAGGCCTTTCCAGCACCCAATGGTATTTTTCCAACAGCAGTTTCGGTCCCAGATCTAGTGCTGACGTGCCACGCAGTTTTGCTGCAGGTTATTTTTGTCGATTCAAAGCTGGGGGATTTTAGTCCCAACAGCGACTTTCCACCTGCGTGAGCGAGGCCAAGCAGAGCAAAACCATCCCCAACATGCCAAGCCTGCCAAACAGCAGCAACGCTCACAGACACTGCACCCCACTGTGCTACGGAGGTGGGGGACCATCTACTTCTGGCGGTTGAGACACCGCGTGGCACGTGTCCAGTTCTCCCAGAGAGGACTTGTTTCTTGAGACAGTGTCCACGCTTAGTTTTCTCAGGTATCACTGTGATTTTTAAGCATACAGTGAAAAATACGCACTTTTTCTCCCCATCTACCAGAAGATTGAGAAAATATCCCATATTGGGTTCACAAGTAGCAGGAGTTGCACATCCTGCACCATGCCCAAAGAGACAAATTCTCTTGTTTCCAAAGAGGAGGATCCAGAACCAACAGCTGAGCCAGGTCCATCCCGCTGGCCACGGGTGATGCTGGGTGGCCCCATGCTCTGCACCACGGGGACGCTGGGGCTGCCTGTGGGCACCATCACGTGCCAGGCGGGCACAGCCCAGCCCCTCCCCGAGCTCCACCCTCAGCTTCCAGCACAGCGTCCAACATTTTGGTGAGACATACTGCAAGCAATTTAAATAATTATTATAATAATAATAAACCTCCTTTAACATGTTTACTGCAGGGAACTATAGGTATTTTGTGGGGGTTTAAAAGTTTCAGATCAAATTAAAGCTAAGCACCTTCAAAGGCATTCTTATATTAAAGTAAAACATCTCTGCAAGGTGTCAGTGCTTCAGTAGGATATCAGTCACAAGTTTCACTCTTCCACAAATAGAGCCAGTTTCCAACCATTTAAAAATTCATCAAAAGCAGTAATTATTTCTTCTAATGTTATTTTCTCACTTCTGTTCTAGGTTCCCGTGTGCATTAGCTAGTTGAGGAACAACATGTTAAGCAGTTTAATAAGTCACAAATAACGGGGAAACTTTTTATGGCTAGGTTTTGGGGTTGGGTTTGTTTTTTTTTTAATGCAAGATTATTTCATGAAAGTTGATTCCACCTCCACCAGAGCCAGATGAGCTGGCTGCCCCAGCCCTGGCCCACATCCCCAGCGTGGGGCAGGGCACCCCCTGCTAGCCCCTTACCTGCACCCACCCGCCTGGGCCACAGCAGTCAAGGCTCCCGCACACCAGCACACCACGGGAATTTCAGAAGCAAGGCAAAAATCCTCAAGAAAAAAAAACAGAAAAAACAACCCCAAATAAAAAACCCAACCACCTTCACCCCAACCAGCCCTCCAAACTGGTTAAATAACATAAACCAAGAATTATAGCAGGCCAACTTTAATTTACCTACATTAATTTCTTTACAAACGGAGGCACTTTTGAGAGAAACCGCACTGTTAATGACATCTTCGCTAAAATTACCTGTTCTTGCACAGGCTGTCTGCCTGGTTCCCAATGTGTCATGTATGGTGTGATAAGTTTGATGTCATGGCCTAAAATTAAAATCTCTTTTGCCTGTGAGTATCAACAGTATTAGAGAAGACACTGAAAGCATTTCCTCATATCAAAGGACAGCACCACTCATTCCCTTACTACCAAGGAACCAAAAAGAGCAAGCAGCAATTCCTACGTGTTCACACATGGCCATTACAGCACCCAAATTTCCGAGGTTAGGCAAAATATTTTAAGTCAATACAAGATGCCTTGGTTACATGGAGCCTGGCGCCTTTCTAGGTTAATGTGGACAGGGTAACAGACCGTGATTTACAGGGGCACTCCGAGAGGCAGCCCAATTTCTGCCTGTCATCTCGGGGAAGGCCGGGCAGCTGCCTGGTTAGCATGCCGGCAGCGCCGCACACCCGGCGCTGGATGTGGCTTCGCACAGCCCTCACCGAGGTGAGCCCTTCTGCCTCGGCCAACAGGCCAGAAAAAAAACCCATACAGAATATTTTGATCTTGTTAGCCCTGAAGTACCTATTCTGCTAAAAAAATAAATAAATAAAAAATTTAAAAGTCTTCCTTTCCCTGCATCTTACTCCAGAAGGCATTAAAAAGAAAAAGCTTTACATATGGCCAAGACAAACAGCATAGGCTAAAATTTCTTTAAGAAATGCCCAGGGGCTTTTCCCACACACAAGCAGATGCACAGTCTCATGACGTTCCCTGAAGTATCTTATGCCTGGAGCCCATATTTCCTTCTCATTTCCTTTTTTATTCCAGTAAGCCTCAATCCAACATCCCCTCTCCTCCATCCTCAGAGCCTGCACCTTCAAACCAGTGACACTACATGGCAAAAATTACCTTAAGTTCAAATATCCTCGTTTCCCACTGAAAAGATGCTCATCCATGCAGCCTCACTGTAAAACCACAGAATCCCATCTATCATTGACAGGCTTCGCAGCCTCTGGTCTGTGCGTACAGATAGCACTCAAATTGTTCCTGTGCGCATCACGTCAGGCTGAGAAAGTGGATTTCCAAGCAGAGGATAAAATAACACTTAAAGGACCTTAAGCTGACCAAGCCATGCCGGCCTGGGCTACCTCTGCCTGCCCAGGCTGCCGCCTCGGCAGCCGGAGGAACCAGCAGCTCTGCCAGTTCACCGGGCGCTTGCACACCCCAAGCTGCCTACACGGGGCTGGGGATGGCATTGCAAATAATCTGACGGGCTTGATATTATATCACCATCCGCCAGCTTGCCGGCAGTGGGCAGGGTGGTTCGGTTTGATTGGGATTAGGGGGAGGGGAGGATTTTATTTTTATTTATTATTATTTTATTTTTTTTAAAAAAAGGAAAAGGATTCCCACACACAGGTTCAGCGCATCCTCCTTCCTCCACCATTGCTTTTAAAAACTCTAGTGATCCCGAAAGACATGCTCAGATCATCACCTACCTTCCATCATGGTGGCAGAATTGCATTCCTCAATTTCCAAGGAGCCTGAAAAAATACAGGAGAATACGATCCCAGTTACCAGATGCTTAACGTAAGCCCTTCAATCAAATGCCTCTGATCCCTGGCTTGCTTAGCTGCCAGAATAACAAGGG